CTCCTGTAGATGATACAGGAGCGGAGTACAAGTTACAGCTGTTCAAACTTATTTGAAGAAGAAAGATGAGAATTCTGGCAAGAGAATGTAACTCGTTGAAACAGCAGTTTTTTTTGGGAGTGAATAGCCAAAGACAAGCTGAAAGGTTCTTGAGGAAGAAAGACCCCAGAGGACGTATGAGGTGTTTGTTAGAAGAAATGAGTAAGAGCACAAAGCTAGTAAATAAAGGTTCTTATTGCTGAGCCACTTAGTAATTACGAGGCACGTTAGGTAATGATTTTTTGTGAAGGATGAAGCCTTCTTTGACTTACATGGCAATTTTCATCTTTTATACAAGGCTATCATAAAAGGTTCGCATATGTGGGCCTTAATTTTTAGCTTTTTTGGCCACAGATTTTGGGCCACTAAAATCTACATAACCATGAAACTGAAAAGTAATGAGCATGAATCATATTTTCAACACAAAGATGGTTTTTGTGAAGTCCTTGATTTCTCTATCTTCCCTTTTCTCTCTTTTTTTTTTTTTCTTTTTATGTCTCTTAAATAGAGTTTTCTACAATCTTCCTTTCAGCTAGATTTTTGTTTTTTTTTGAGCTCGATGTAAATGGACATGAGTGAAGTATGGATGTGTTTTCTATTCCTTATTTAGGTATTCACGTCTGGTTTGCATTCTTGTGTTTGTTCCTTTTTTACTCTTTCCCCAGCCAAGTATACATGGCCAGAGAAATTAAAACAGGGGAAATTGTTGCTTTGAAAAAGATACGCATGGACAACGAGAAAGAAGGGGTATTCTTCCTTTCCTTGATTATTATGTTAGCTTAGTTGATGTAGTCATACACAGAAAACAGTCTGGGCTAAAAATGTGAATCTAATCTTGACAAAAACACTTCCCATAGCAAATTTTGTGGAATTGTTTTCTTCTTTTCTACAGTTTCCTATTACTGCCATCCGGGAAATTAGAATTTTAAAGAAGCTGCGGCATGAAAATGTTATTAAGCTGAAAGAGATTGTGACATCTCCAGGTACTTTGATTTCCAGATACTTGGAGCTACACCCATTTCTTACTTTAGCTTGTTAGAGACATTTAATCAAGTTTCCTTGCACTGAAAATTTATTAAATTTGTTTCAAGGTCCTGAGGTGGATGAGCAAGAGAAATCAGGTGAAGACTTACTGCATTAACTTATTTTAGTGATTTTATCGTAGACTGATTCTCATTTTTGATTTGATGTGGTTAGTTTTTTCTTCAGAGTCCAGCTTAACAATATTTTTTTGATTCTTGGAATGTCTGACATGGGTTATAATCTCTGAGAGTACAGATGTTAATAAGTACAAGGGCAACATTTACATGGTTTTTGAGTATATGGACCATGACTTAACAGGCCTTGCTGATCGTCCTGGATTGCGATTTACTATTCCACAGATCAAGGTATTGTAAGCTTAGACAGCTAAAAAGGACAGTGTCTGTTCTGTAATGATAACCTGTACTTGACAGTTTGTTAATAATATTTCATTTCAGTGTTATATGAGGCAACTACTGACGGGGCTTCATTACTGTCACATCAATCAAGTACTTCACAGGGACATCAAAGGTTAATGCCATAATGAATTCAATCTTTTCATTGCTGTGAAATACTTACATTTTCTATGTACTGTTCGTGCAGGCTCTAATCTTCTCATTGATAATGAGGGAAATCTAAAGCTTGCAGATTTTGGGCTAGCACGGTCATTTTCACATGACCACACTGGAAATCTCACAAATCGAGTTATTACTTTGTGGTATAGGTATATATAGAACTATAATTGGATAAATAGGTTATATATGGATGTATGATGGTGGATATTCATGTAGCTGCATGACTTGCGTCGGCTGTCGAATAATATTTAAGTACTTTTCAGTCAGCTGATTCAGGTTAATTTTCATTTAAGCAGACCTCCAGAGTTGCTGCTTGGAGCCACCAAGTATGGTCCAGCTGTCGACATGTGGTCTGTTGGTTGTATCTTTGCTGAGCTTTTGCATGGGAAACCAATATTACCTGGGAAAAATGAGGTTAGGCATATCTCTTGAATTTTTTCATCCTATTTTGTCTGATATAGGCATTAGAAATGTTATGTACGACCAAGCTCTTTTTAGTTTATGATTGTTGCATATCGGTGGTCTAAACTGATGTGGATGTGGGCTCACTGCATATAGCTTTTTCATGGTTATGCTATCATGAAGTATGACTTTGATGATCGAAATTTCTTGAGATTTATGCATTTTTTTTAAAAGAAAAGGGGGCATGTTCTTTTATGCTGTACACATATCTTGACTCCAAATTAATTATAGTTTGACAGCATACTTAGAAAAATTGATTTATCTATACCAAATATCCTTGCCGATTAAAGTACGTCTTACCAATAGATCTTGTTCACTGACCTCTTACTAATCCAAATGGTTAGAGGTGTTGACGTAATGGTCAAGGTTGCGATATCGGCCTTTAACTCAATATGCACTAGGTCATATCCGTGATGACGTCTCGTAACTCTATCGGCTGGTGCAGGCCAAAATACTAGATTAGAATCGAAAATTCTAAAATAAATCGTACAAAATCCTAATAAATTTAAATACCTACATGTATGTACCATATATCTAAAATAAATCATGTAGCACATTAAACATAGTGCAAAAAAAAAAATGGCTCTACCAAAAATATTTATCACCATTAATTTTCAATGAAACCATTTTTCATTTGAGTAGGCAAAGTGAAACGACATTCATGGGCCCTTCAAAAATTATTTTTGCTAGTTAGAATTGAATAACAGGTTGGAGTTGCGAAAGTTACTCTACATATGTTTTGTGTATTTCAGGTATTTAAAATGTTCAATTGTTCAAAAATTTTAAATATCAAAAAGTAGTTAAATTAAAATGCAAGTGCATTCTGAATTAAACTAATACAATTGAGTTCACCCCTCCTCCCTCCCAACAACATACATGAAAAACTTAAAAATACAACACATCATTTATTATTATGAAAGTCATGTTTTAACAAATTATCATAGGCCCATTATCTGCCCGAACAGAAGGACAAAAAAGTCTAAAACAAAAAAATGAAAGAAGTCCAACTCCTTCATTTAGTAGAAGCAGATGAAGCATCATTTTCCTTGACTTTTTCAGTTCACACTTCACACACATTGAAAGAAGTAGGGTTTCAATGTGAAATAATCGATTTGATTCAACTATTTGTTTTACCGAGGATAGGTTTGCATTGATGTGGGTCTGGAATGCTTCTGTCTAGCTTAACCTTTTTTTCCTTATTTTTTAGGCCTTCTTTTTGCTGGTTTTTGATGTGGGCTGGTAATTTGTTGAACTTGTCCAACTCGGTCACGAGTTTGGTTGAATCGATCGAGTTTAGTCCAAATTGCACCGACTTGTCTAAGTTGTCTCCAATTCAAGACCAATTCGGCTGGGACTCATAGATTTGGTGGAACTTGTATCGGTATCGGTTGGGTAGGGCTGTGTCGTGGTTGTTAGACTCAATAGATACTTTGATACCCGATTGAAGTCGGAAGTATGGTTTACGGTCGCAATGTCGGTTATCGACTCGGATGTCAATGTGACAAATTGATTGCAACGTCGCAATCGATATTAGACGATAAATACAAAAAATTAGGTCGTATCGTGGCATTGGGAAATGGTATAGTGGCGTAACGGGAGCTGGAGCGACAAAATGCTAACTCAGACGGCTCAGTTGAATAGTCCGAGACTTTCCAAGTCAAGATGAGTCAAGTGAGACTTGTGCTTTTATGACCACATTTTAGGTTATCTGAAAAGGACGAAATACAAAGATTTTTGAATATTGGATTGAATGTTGGAACGAAGGTGGGATCGAATTCATTTCTTAGTATCTTTTTGGGATCAATTTCAAAGGAGTTCAATGAAATTTCGCTTTTTGCTATTTTAGCAAGGATGGAAGACTTCATGTGATTTATAAGCTCGTTTTATTTTTTATTTTTTATTTTTTTGTTTGTTCTTAGTTGGATATCTTGTCCAAACTTATCTTTTATCTTTTAATTATTAATACAAGAGTTATGTTTTCTATATAAAAAAAAAGTGAGACTCGTATTTTACACTCGTATCTCTGAATGGAAGGTGCTAAGTCGGATACGACCTTGCTGAGTTGTGCCGGTATTAGCCTATTCTTTGATCGATGGTTGAAAATTTTATGAATGTTTCAAAATGCATGGCCCCATGGGAAAAATATTGTTTGAGTTATATAGTTCTCCTATCTATCGTTTAAGGTCGCATAATCAATATAGAGAAACATCCTAAGGTGGCCAAGGTAAAATGTGGCTCTAGACAAAAATTTTATTTGAGGTCCTATTAATATCTTGTCTATTAATATATTATATTTTTAATTATTATAATTATATTTTTTATTTATTTTTTGAAATACAAAATATTGATCATATTTTGATAATAAATCTTTTTTAATAGATAATATAGTTAATTTAATCAATTTGATCGTAAATAATATTTTATCAATTTAAGTTTTGAACAAGTAATTTAATGATAAAATAAGTGAGTAAAGAATAATTTTAAGATATCAAAGAATCATTCTTTACCCATGAATTATGTGCACGCATGAAGTACAAAACTTTGATAACACATACAATTTAAGCATAAATTATTTGGATTGAAAAGTTATACTAAAACAAAAACGGAATCAATTTTATAGATTTTCACAAGAATAGTGCATATAAATTTTTTAGGTGAGTGAGAGGAATACAATTGTAAACACACCCAAAAGAGTTATAAAAATTTAAATCAAAGTTTACACGAAGGGATAACTTTTATGGAGGCCCTCGAAAATTTGGGCTTAACCAACTAAAGAGTTATTTTGGACCTAACAAAATTCTATATTGATTTAAACTTTTAAAATTTGGCCTTAAAAATTTGAATCATAGCTACAGTGCGAAATAAAAAATAACTAATTAAGCCTACTATACTAAAGGGATAAATATTTTGGGGGCCCTCTAAAATTTGGGGCCCTAGGCAAGTAACTTAGCTGCCTAGGTCTGAGGTTGACCCTGGACACATCGGTCGTAGTGTTGTAGTACGATATCGGCCAATACGCACAAAATAGTAGATAGAATGTTCATAAAATTCTACAAAAATATAAAAAATATAAACAATAAACTTTATGTACCCTATGATTAATATACATCATCTAGCACATTCAATATGCCGAAAATGAAATGATAGGGAGCTATCGGACATATCGAGCTATGTTAATTTAATTTATTAGTAATATATATTAAGTTAATGCAATAAAAAGTTACTGTGTTAATGTACCCAAAATTAATCAATAAAATCAGACCCTAAATTAAAAAAAAAATACATCATTTACTATTATGACACTTTCACAACATATTACCAAAAAAGGACAATCATCCAACACAAAGGGAAAATGGTAGACCCATTAGTGCCGAGTTGAAGACTAGTTAGCCTATGTCCAATTTTCAAACCTTAGCTTAGAGAGAGACCTCGAATGAGAGGGAATGACGATTGTAACTCCATTCGTACAAACGAAGACTAGAGATTGAGGACCATCTCAATCGGTGCTATCTGGTGCAGATTGTCAGTAATTATGAAGAAGAATACGACTTCAATGGTGACAAATCTACGATATTTTTGTGACTCGGTCAACTCGGTTACGAGTTTGTCTGAGTCAACTTTGTTGTGTTCGTATCATTACCAGTATCGGTTCGATAGAGGCTGAATCAGATCGAACTTGGCCAATATTTTGACATCCATTGAAGATCTACTTATAAAATTATAACGTTTTGCAAAATTTCAATTTGTGAACACAAAGCGCTTAAGAAATGCTTAAGGACTACCATATCATAATATCAACACTTTAAGAGTAAGTTTCTAGACGAATTTATAAATAAATAACATCATGATTGATATCGAGGATCTTAAGTTTATTTCGTTTCGACTGAAACAACCGAAAACATTTTGGTTTTTGTGTCCTTGGTTGGAAAATCAAAATTCCCTTGTTTTTGCAACGTTTCAAAACAATTTGTAATTTCAAAACATTTCGAAAATGTTAAACGTTTCTATTTTTGAGTTGACAAACACGTTACATCGAAACAAAATTTTGATCCTCGATTGCATTGCAACAAACAAATTGAGCGATTGTGATGTTGGGTTTCCTAAACATGATAATTTTCTTAGCTGAAAAAAAAAAAAATTCCAATAATGATGTTCAAAACTCCATGAAAAATTCTCTTGGGTGATTTTTACGTGCTAATTCAAAGTGAACATCATTGCTTCCAATACAAAAGAATATTAGATATCTTCAAAAAAGGAAACTAAGAGAGTCAAAAGAAAAGACAATTTTGAGGCACTTCTAGATGTTAGTCGGGGGTGGAGCCAAATTTTTTTTTTTATCTCGGGCACTTTAAAAACATATTCTAATTTATTTTCATTCTAATCAATCATAATAAAATAATACATTTTCATTTATCATATTATATTTAATACATGAAGTCTGTTCAACAGAAAAGGGCAAAAAACAATGTGAATTGTGTGAGCTCATTTGGTTGTCGTATTAGAAATGAATATATTAGATAAAGTAATTCAATCTAATATAATATAGATGGACATAAGACAAGATTAAATAGGGTATTAGAATAATACGTAATTTTATCTAGTGTTTGACAATACACAATATAAACATTAAATAGTAGTTATTTAATCCAATCAGTTGTTTGGTTAGAGAATTATTTCATTGTACTAGTGTTGAATTAACAAAAACAACCTCAATCAGTATTTGTTACATTGATGACAGTTTGATTTTATCAGTTAGGTGATTATAATAGTAAATGTGTAAAATAAACGTTTGAGTTGAATTATAATACCATATCTTTTGGTGGTGTTAAAATATTTCAATATTACAAATCTATCTTACAAAAAAATACGATAAATATACAATTAGTATACATTTTTTAAATTAATATAGTATCAAACTTGCTTACCAAACAAAGTATTAGACCCGATTAAATAAAAAATAAGATAATCCAATATTTAATCTCCTCATAATATGTCTACTAAACGAGCCCTGTATGTATAAAAAAAAAAGACTAATTATCAGCATTGTGAAAAAGCGAGATTAATTGTTATTTTGTAATTAAAAACATATCAGTTATTCACTAACTATCCATTAAATTTGTTCGATAAACTATTTTCAAAACATTGTCACTGACGTATTAGAATAATATAGCCACTAAACTAAAATTTAAGAACTAACCATAGTAACAAAAATTTGAAAAATTAATTGACACATAATAAACACTACAATTAATAGTTGAATAAAAATAGAGATGACCTCTCATAGAAAATAAAAGTCAATTAACTGTCAATTGCAAACACTTTCATTTTCAAATTATAGAAATAAAACTAAAATTCATAAATATGAATAAAAAGTTCACCAGTAGAAAACATTAATACAATAAAAGACTAAACAATGGAAGTAAGAAGGTTATAGGATGGGCAAAAGAAAAAAATATTTGTATAATTCTTAGAATATCATGCATGGAATTTTTTTTTTTTAAAAAAATTGAGGTTGGCTCCGGTGTAGCTCTGCCTTTGATGTTAGTAGATGTCAAATAATGCTAGCCTAAGAAGCATGGGTACGGACACGGATGTCGTATTCGATATGATACAGACACAAGGATATGAAAAAGTTTTAAAATATAGGACACGGGTACAGTAAGGATACGACTAGTTAAAATAATATTATATATTTTTTATAAATAAAAACATTAATAATACGACCTAATAAACGTTTAGTAGTTGGTTAATATTTTATAATCGAATAATTGGCTAATATCAAATTAGATAGTGGACTAATATGTTACAATTGGATGGGCTAATATCAAATTGGACAATGAGTTAATGTATTTGACAACTAATAAATAGATTATACCAAAAAGAAGAAAATTATTTTTTTAACAAAGCTAAAATTTAATGTGTATTCAAATATATATATATATAAAGAGAGAGAGAGAGAGGAACCCTCTGCCTTGTGAATTAAAAGAACGAGAACAAAAGAAGAAGAGGAAGAAGAGTTTCGAAGAAGACATACCGGCCTGGCCATATGGTAAAGCAGAGATCAAAGAAGAAATCGATTGGTTAGATACCGTACCGCTCCGGTATTCCTCCTGTATCGTAATTTTTTTTCCTGACACTTGAAGTGTCGGGCTCGTGTCTAACCATATCCCACACGTATCCGTGTGACATCGCCACATCGACCCTCACCAGAGTATCCGTGCTTCCTAGATGCTTGTTGATTTCACGCACCATTTTGAATGATAAAGGATCTGAATTGCTAAAAAATAAGTTTTTTTGATAAAGCAATGTTCCATTTAAGAAAAGATTCAAATGTCTGCATTGTGTTGCCATTTGTCATCTATGACTGTATTATCCATTCGATGGAGTATTTTGTATGTGGTAGTAAATAGTAATATGTGAGTGAAAAAGAAGTTCAAAAAAAGAAAGAAAAGGAAATTCTGGAAAGAAAATAATGATTGAAGAGAAGAAATATAGAAGAGGTATGATACAGGAAAGGTGGGAGGGCTGGAACTCCCAAGTGCTGAGAATGGATAGACATCAATTACTTTTTCTTGTGATGCCAAATGTTTCAACATTTCTACTTCCCATCTCTAGCTTAAGTAGCATTAGATTAGAGTACTTCATTGGTTTGGAGATTGGTGAGTTTTCAATTTTTGCATACTGCAAACTAGAAGAGAGCAGTAGGATTTGCTCTAGGAACTCATCCCAATGAAGCAAGAACTTGAAAGTATAGGCAATATCTGCATTGTATTTCCCGAAATTCCTTATGTTTCACTGGTTGTACGATTGCTTAAGATACCTCAGTTATGTTGGGCACCAATTACATGGGGTTGTTTACCGGTACCATCACGTGAGTCCGTGATGCAACTCAGCCCTGCACATTTCCTTCCAATTCCTACCAACTAGTGAAGTGTTGACACCTTGCAACTCTTAAGCAATAGAAGCCCACTAGGAGAACACACTTTGGGTGTTCTCATTTCCTTTCCCTTAAAGAAGGAAAGCATCTATGACGTTACCTTGCCTCCCTTCCCTTAAAAGAATCGAAAAGTGAAAATATAATGCAAAGTGCTAGAAAATTTTCTCGTTCAAATTCCCATTCCATGTATATCAGTCCAACCCAAAGCTTTCACTTTGTGAGATGCTTTTAGATCCAAATAATCTTGGAGGAGAATTGGAGAGGGTTTTGGCTTATAATAGTGGTCAAATTATGGGAAAATTTTCAACAACCAAATATACTGAACTTGGTAACCTAGTATCTAGTATCTTGGTGAGAAGGAAAAGAGCTCTTTGATGCTTTAAAGAGAGTAGCATGGACATGTCTTTAGTGGTTGCAATTTTTGAGACAGTTGAATGTTCACTTCATTTAAGTTCAGAGGAGGTGCAAATTTGGACTTCTACCATCTCTGACCAATGATTGTAGAAGAGATTGTGGCATGTCCAAATAGTGTTGATACTTACTGGGAGATTGAGGTCAGAATTTCGTCATGAATTCCTCATACTAATAGTGAGTATGTCTTGCTACTAGATTGGAATACCAACCACTCTGGTATATGCTATACTTGCTTAATGAAATCGAGTGCCAGAGAAAGGTATTCTTCTGTGGAACCTTAACCATTTCTTTGAAAGAGTCTTGTTTCTAAATTTGCATCACATCGACCGAGCTTAGGTCTGTGCCTAGGCCCAGGTCTAGCACCTTGCCCAAACCAAGGTGAGGCCACTTCAACAAGGCAAACACCAAGTGGGCTTACTCGCAAGGGTTAAATCGCTTATCAGGCGCGCTTCATGGACCATTTTTTGTTTTGCCTTGTTCTCTTCTAGATTGCATGTGGGTCATTTATTTTTGTGCAAGTAAACGATGTCTTGGGTTTGCTTGATACACAAACCAAATTATAAAATTCAATCTGACTCAACTCAATGTCAAAACAAAACCTTAAAAGTCGGCTCTTCTCTTTTCTGGTGTCTTACAAACCATCGGTTAGATGCCTAAAGAAATAGTGGACTAGCCAGACGCATGTCCAAGTCATTTTCTCTTCGTCCTTCGATCTTCTTGTCTTTTCTTTTCCATCTTCATCAGCCTCTCTCTCTTCTGTTTCTTTTATTCTTCCATGTTTCATTTTTGTCTCTATTTCTTCTTTCTTTTCCTTTCTTTCTTTCTTGCTTTCTTTTTCTCTCTCTCTCTCTGTATTTTTGTGTCTCTCTCTATCTCTTTATGGGCCAGATGTGGTTTGAAACCAAGTTACTATTTGAGCTCTGGAAACAAGTATGCTTTTGCTCAAATAGATTGACTATGTGCACCTGGAGTTACTTTTTTTTTCCTTGAATAATTCAATTGTCATACTTGTCTTAATTCTTTGGATTCAATTGCTTGTTTTGCCTCTGTTTTAATAAATGATATAGGTATGTTTTTGTGAGTTACTGAACTAGTCTTGTGAAATTGTCAGCTAAAATGCTTAATCATTGTCATGGTTCATATGGGTTGGCATTGCACAAATTGAAAATTTGAGATGCAAGAGCTTTGTTTCAGTAATAAATATCTACATTTATCTGAATTAATGGGGGTTATGGAGAAATTGATGTATGTGTTTGTGAAATGAGCCTATATTTATTGAAATCAGCCTATGTTCAGAATATTTGGGAAGTTGGATGCTTTCTGATGTTTGCTATTTCTTGAATATCTATATAATAAAACACATAGGAAGTTGAATTTTATCCCCTACATAATTTTTCTCCCAAAAATATCACATCAGCCAATTTTATCACATGTTTAATTATTTAATATTTGATTAATTTATAGTTTAACAAAATTTTTATTTCATTCTTTGTCCATACACGATAGTATACACATGCTGAAAAATATGTCCGTTATTTTGAGAAAATTGACGCTATTTTTACGAAAATAATAGGTGAAAATTAATTTTAAATAACGTAATCAATAAATGAAGAAATAAAAATTTGTTATTTGGTATAATAGAATCATTTTTTGAATGCTCGAATCTTATGTTTGATTGTGCCTTCAGGCACGGGGTATGATTAGTTCATTTATATTTTGTGTTGTTTGATGTTATGTTATGTGTTCAAAAATCAAATGCACGTTATCTATGACACGTGCCTCACTTCAATGAGGTTTGGCCTCGCCTTGCACCTCGTGCCTAGGCCTAAGGGGACCTTGGCATCTTAGGGCACACTATACATTCTTAATGAAATCTAGTGCTAGAGAGAGACATGCTTCTACAAAATCGTCATAACCACTTCTTTGAAAGAACCTTATTTCGAAAACTTGCATCACTTCTACTGAGCATGATCCTAACCGCAGAATCCATTAGATGGTCCTTTACATAAATTTTTATTTTTTTGTTTAGAATTATTAACTAGATTTCACCATTAGTTTGAGTTAAAAAAATCTACTGGTGCTGGAAAGTGAATTGTCTTCTTATAAACTAAGAACTACAAGTGTTTATACGAAGGTGATGTGTTCGTACATCGTCAGAAAATGATGATTTCCATACTCTATTGAACATGTGTCCATCTATAGATATTGGTATCATAGATACCCAAGTGCCCCACAAATTGGAGTCGCACGACTTGAAATAGAGTGGGTTTGTGACACAAATTGCCAAATTACAAACCTCAAATCATGGCTTAATCCACAAATCGACCCACGATTTAGGTAATCCCATATTTCAATCCTAACCCCAATTTTTAACCCAAATTGATTTTTTTTATTTATCTTAGTGATCTTTAAACTTATATTTTTCGCAATATAAAAATGCCACACCTAGATTTTGCTATCTAAGACCATAAGTTGATGTGTTGTATTATTCCTCGCTTTGAAACTTCTAAAAGAAATATGACACAAATATCAATTCACAACGGTTATACAAATGGATAATTTTACATCAGTTCATAAAATAGTGAAAGTGATCTTACTAAAGTTCACAATGGACATACAAATGGACAATTTTACATTAGTTCATAAAATAGTGGAAGTGATCCGTATAAGACATACAAAGTGAATCATGACATAAAAGGCTTACCAACTAAGTTTACCCTCATCGCACCTCGCATTCGAAAAAGTGTTGTACCGCTTACTCGTACCTGTACTATATACTAAAGCGAATATTTACCAATTTTTGTAGATTTCCGCAGCACAACCCAGAAAAATTCCCACATTTATTGACATTGATGCATAAATAAGGAACCCGGGTTTCCACGAGTGTTGGTGGGTTTTGGAATGCTTGCCAAGGTTCTAGTGCATATCCCAAGATGACCCCATGATCCATTTTGTCTAATACTCTTTTTGCATTTTTTTTTAGCAAAAAGAAACTCTTCATTTTGGACACATTTCAACAGTCTTTTAGCACGTGTCTATGGTTATTTCTATAGTTAAAAGATGCATATGTAGACGAAACATGGACACTTGTCAACACGCAACGTTAAAATGTGAGAGATGATTTTTTATGCAAAAAGGTATAATCATTGTAGCAGAAGATATAACTGAAAAAGTTATTATTTAGTACACGAGGCTCACTACATTGCAGGGTCTAGGCCGGGTCAGATGTGCGCAATATTACTCATACATGTGGAGAGGCTATTTCCACTACTCTACCAAGTGGGCTTGGGAATACGAGAAAAATTATTATAATCCTGTATGCTTGGAACACCTTGTCTATAAGAAGTTCGTGATTGTTATGATTTATTAGTTCACAAATTCATGTTAGGCCATTAGGTGTACGATTTTATTATTATGTAATAATGATTTTCTTTAATTGTATAATTAAGTTTATCTACATATTTATAAACTTTATAACATGATTTATAAAATAAAATTTTTGTAGCATGTTCTAGCTGTGTCAGATTTCTTATTTTTTAGGGTTTGCCATGTCTTGCATCTTTATCATGTGTCTATGTTTGTTCTTCATAGCTTATCAACGAGTACTGATATAAAATTGATGAAGTTAAGATAAAGTTTATTGGGTGAATATTTACTTTATCCGCACTTATTCTAGATTCTCTTAAGTTAATGGAAAATCATTTCACTGTTTTCTTTGTTGACTGTTTATTGTAGCCTGAACAATTAAACAAGATATACGAGCTTTGCGGATCTCCTGATGAGATTAACTGGCCTGGAGTTTCCAAGATTCCTTGGTATAACAAGTTCAAACCAGCAAGGTCAATGAGGAGACGAGTTAGGGAGGTTTTCAGACAGTTAAGCAGACACAAGCTGATGTTTTACAGAATGCTGTACTATTTAGCCCCTATGTAGTGAAAAAATTTGATTTTCACAGTCCTTAACTTTGTTTGCAGTTTCGATCGCCATGCTCTGGATTTACTGGATAAAATGCTTAGTCTTGATCCATCTCTGGTATTTCCTTATTTGATTTACTTATATTTGACCACATTTTATCAGTTAGTAGACTTCTTAGTTCTTTGAATCTTTTTATCAAATTAAGCCGTCACCATTCTAATTCTCTCCATATTGTCTTATCTTGAACCAAAGCCCATATTGGTGGCGTAACTGGTCTGTTTTCAAATTAGTTATCCGTTCTCGAATTAACACCTCCTTATGACCGAGTCAATCACTTATCTCCCCTATAATGTGCATATGAATATCTAGACTCGTAGAAGTTCTAATTTCATCTTTCACACTGGTAACTTGCTAATAATTGAACAGTACACCTTTCAGCTATTTTATTTCTTCTTCAGGGCTGTGTTTGTCAAACTTGACAAAGCAGAATTGAAGAATGCTCGTCCTGCATCACTGGAAATTATCTGCACAAGCTAGATACTCAACCACAATCTGATTAACCCTATGAAGTTTCTTATCCTCACTTCAACGAAAACATATAAAAAAGAGTAGTTGCTTTAATGCAATGGACTTCTAAATGCACACACTAGAGTCCCATTTGGAGAAGGAAATAGTTTTATTCCTTATGGATCAGATTGATTACGGATGTTCGGAATTACATCATCTTGAAATAGCAGTTTCAAGGTTTCATGCCTTGATTAATGGCTCAACCTTCAGCAGAAATAGATAGTAATATAGTTTGATCTGTCTCCATCTATTTCTATTTGCTATGTTAAAGCTCGGGCTGCAGCTTTTTTTTGACTCAACCTTCAATTTTCACACATAACCTCCTGAACCCCTCGTATGTCATCGAGCAATGACCCGTTGCCTTTTGCACTCCCATTCTTCAGATGATCCATCAATGGCCAGAAAAGTAATGAACATATTCAGCAGATTGCCAGATTGTATGCAGTGTCATTTATTCAACTTCCTTATCTTTTCCTTTATCTCATCCTGTTTTACTTTAAGTAACTTTCCTTTTGAATTGATTCGAAGACCTATATTCATTTCTTGATTCATTTTTCTGTTCTTTTTTATTTTTTATTTTTTATTTTCTGTTTCACCTTGATGATATAGAGAATATCTGCAAAGGATGCACTTGATGCTGAATATTTCTGGACTGATCCCTTGCCTTGTGATCCCAAGAGGTATGTCTTGTGTCCTCCTAGTTTTCCAATATGCCCCCGCAGAGTTCCAAGAAATCACCTTATTCATTTAAATAGGGAAAATGATCAGTAATGGTTATGCCTCTGAGGGTCAGAACAGTTGTGGCATGCCAGGAGTTGTAATTATCTAAATTCACTCGTTTTATTTAGGCCCTTTCATGGTTGAGTTTCTGAAACTTGTTTGTCAATATATTAGCTAATCTCTGCTTGTTATAAAAAATGGCTCAAGGCTTCGCTTTCTGGGTTGTATGACAATGATCTGTCCTGTTCTTTTGATCGAACAGTTTGCCTAAATATGAATCCTCGCATGAGTTCCAGACAAAGAAAAAAAGACAACAGCAGAGACAAAATGAAGAAATAGCAAAGAGACAGAAACTGCATCACCCACAACAGCATGCACGCCTGCCTCCCATCCAACAAACTGGGCAAGCTCCTCCTCCATATTGGTCTGGACCTAATCATCTCGTGAACAATTCCCAGCCTCCACTTCATCATCAGTACGGAAAGCCTCGTGGTCCTCCTGGAGGGCCTAATAGGTATCCTCCAAGTGGAAACCCCAGTGGCGGGTATTATCCAGATCCAGGGGGTCAAGGTGGGGGGTATAGTGGTGGGTCATATCCATCTCAGGGACGGGGACCATATCCTGGAAGCAATGTGCCCACTAATGGTCCCCAAGGAGCCACGGGTGGTTATGGAGTTGGCCCTCCTAACTATCCCCAAAGTGGTCAGTACGGAGGCTCTGGTGCTAACAGAGGTCCTAATCCAATGGCCAGTAGTCGAAATCAGCAGTATGGTTGGCAGCAATAGACATTGTGAACCAATATAAATGTAGATGATACACTGACAAATAGTAGGGGATCCAATGAGAAAAGAAAGCATTGTTGGAAATTCAGCTTTAGTTTCGGGGACTTCTCAGATTAGGAACTTGTGAGTGGACATGTAGACTTGTTAGTTGAGCTCTGATATTGAAAACAAAAAAAGTTTCATTTGTGACATTACAAGTTGAAAATGTTGGCAATGTAAAACTGCGTGGCTTTGGTTTCTGAGGCCTGGTTCAGTGGTTCTTCATTTGCCGATAAGAATGACAAGGTGATCTTGATGTATTCTTTTATTTAACAATTTTTGTTGTACTTTTATAATCTTTTACATTTCTCTTGTCATGGTGTGATTCTTATTGCCATTTCCTTTTCACCCTTAGGCTTGGATCCTGGTGCCTGTATCACTACATACATTATTGCCAGGTATGTTGCTTATTAATGGTGGTAGAGAAGTGTTTCAGCTGAGCAAAGTTTTTCTTGTAAATTTTTTTAGAGGCTACTTACTTTTTCTTGGTTGTCGGACCATGACAAGTGGCAATGTGTCTCGGGTCTTGAATTGATAGCAAGATTGTTTATCATTCATCTCTTTCAGATCCCATCATAATCAAGAGTCACATTGTAAACTTGTTATGATAGAGGGGACAAAGTTGCAGTAGTATCATACATTTCCGAATTATTTGGCATGGCCTCATAACTTTGGGTGTAGCTGCAAAAATTTATTGTAGACATGGCAACAGGCTGGTTTGGAGGGGACATGTTTGTGGTCATTCACATACAACTCTGATGACCCGACCCGACCCAACCCGACTCAAATGGATGCTCCAACTGGCCAACCCATACAGCAACCAAATGATTTTTGTACTTATGATTCAATGAGATAAAAATTACGAACCAATGTTGTCAAAAAAAAAATGGACAAATTCACGGTCCTTTATATCATGTTTACAAAAATTAGTGAGGTATTGGTAAATTCAATTTTTGATCTCAATTATCTTTTAAAATTATTTATTACCGGCTACAAAATTGTAGCAGATAAGATTATGATATCGAAAAATAATTTATGGTCACAGATCACTGATCGATTCATTTGTAATCATTGATCATGAAAACAATAAACTAAACTAAACTAAAATGATATATTAAGAGAATTTACATGTGTTATATTCTTATTGGTCGAGAAAATTTGGTACGACAATGCAAAGTAATTTTTCGATACCACAATTCTTAATTGCTTTAAAGTTGTGTTTTACCTAACTTAATAGATATTAGCTAATTTTGTGCCATCTAAATCATAAGAGCCACTACCATCACACCAACGTAAACAATCCCACCAAAATCTTGGCTCCACGCTCGTCGAATTGAGTTGAATCGAGTCCACTTTGCAATTACAATAACACGGGCTAGAATTTAACTTTCTCAACAACAAAGAATCGTCTTAATAATGCACTGTTTTTATTTGTGTATGCCATACAAACTCGAAATACATGTATTCATTTGTAAATCGCACACATCGACTCAACTAGTACTTTTTTTGTGTAAAACTAGAATTTGGGATCTCACGGTATTAACCATTTAAGCTCTATCATCCGAGTTATTCACACTGGTTAACAATTTAGTAGTTACTCCCAGTGCATCTTTCAAACTTTTTCTTTTCTCTTTTTCTGTTTCCCCGATAAGGTAAGGAGAAAAAAGAATTTATTGTGTTTAATTTTTTATTTTGGTTTTTTTCTAAAAAAAAGTAAAAATATTAGTATCCATAACATATATCACCTTTCTTAATGTGCGTTTAACCCGTCTTAATGTGCATTTAACACCCCTAACGGTTGAGATACCATCTAAAAAATATATAATAATTAGAATAAATACCATAATTAGTTTTTAAATGTTGCCTCTTGTTTAAAATGATGCACAAATTTTTAATTGTTCCAATTTAGTCCCTTAAATATTAATTTCGTGTCAATAAAATTCTTCAGTCCATTTCACCGATTAAAACAAATTGAGATAAGTCCATATGCTTGCCATGTGGTCGTCTAAGTCATGTGCCTCCATTGACAATTATAAAATAGCAAATAAAGTTTTAAGGACTAATTATGATATTTATCCTAATAATTAAAAAAGTTGCATTAATAATTCAAAAAATTAAAAGAAAATTCTACATTTAGGACTAACTATTAAACGTGTGACTTATACTATTCCTATATTACGACTAAAAAGTCAACGTGTACGAATTTGGCCTTTATTAGCCTTAAAAAACAGACAGAACCATCCACATATGAGCTGTTACCATCTTATTTGGAAATATATTGATATAATCACTTTGATGATAGCTTACCCCACCATACTATAAAGAAATAAATGAACACTTTGATGGTTTACCCAAAAACAAATCATACCATACCATACCATGTCCATCACTCATATGTTAGTCTTGTATTTTTAAATTGTCTTTTTGTCAATTTTTGAATCATTTTTTCACCCG